TGTGTATGGCTTGGCCACACACAACTGTGTATTTGCCATTTAACTAGTATTGTATCCTATTCTCCTTCTCTATGTATGTGTGATAACCACTTATTTGTGGAAGAGGTTTAAACTTTTTGGTCTTGCCTCTTAGCCAAGTATGCATATCTTTGTCATTTCTATTGGAAATGAAAGAGTCATATAAATACATTGGTGCTAATATAGTATTGCAATTTAGAATTAAGGATTTTTAATTGCATGTACAGTAAAAATAATGTTATGACCTGAGGGTACTTATATTCATCTGCAATATTATATATTGTTGCCTATTTATTATTTGGTTCATAACTTATGCTTTTTAGAATATTTATTTCTTATTTGTAGTGATTTGTTGTGTGTTCCCCAGAATGACCTTAATTAAAATGAAAAATTAATGTAGCCAGATCTCCATAATTGAAATAAAAGAGCATGGACATATGGATGCCAGACATGTTTATACTGTGTGTGTGTGTGTGTTTTTTCTGGGGGGAACCCCGTCGGCTCCCCGGAGCTATCCAGGCTAATATGCTAATGTCAGACTTTGGCATCAGTCATGTGTATGGAGTTCTGTGGGCCTACCAGGGACCACGAGCCAGAACCTGGCCCCCCCCTTCCCCCCACAGAGGCACGAGGAGCAATGGCCTATAGAAACCGCCATGTGGTTGGAAGCATTCTATGTCTGCCATCGTGCGGGTTAGGCACCCAGAAAAGTAAGCGTCCCAAAACAAACCCCGATGCTGGTGAAAATTGCTACAAAAAGCCGAACAAGTGGGTAGAACTCCCCAAACAGAAATGAGCAAATGAATATGATGTCACACGTCGCCGCGCCTCCATCTGCGTTGCTTCCCCGTCCCCGGGAGGGGGAGATAGGGGGAGCCCCAGACCTCCGTGCTGGCCATCCACACCCCATTTCTGAGGCTGATGCTATAGGCAACAGTTGTGTGCTCTGGCTATAGTGGTTGTTTAGGCACTGTGCCTTGTGTGTGGTGACTGTCTTCTAGGTGGTGCACGAGCCAGGAGATATTCTTCAGTACTTGGGCTGCATGCACCTAGAGCTCCCTTCCCTAGGTGCCCAGTAAGTACTGCCCTTGGGGCTTGGGGCCACCTTCCACAAGTTCCTTGGGTTCTGCCTCTGCTAGGCCGTTTACTGCTCGGTTTTCGGCCACCCTTTGTGTGCTGGGGTGTTCCGTCTTCCTTGTTCGCCTTAGGGTAGGGGGCAGTTTGCACTGGTAAGGGGCGCAGGGTACTGCGCAGCTTGTTTTCACCAATCATAGCGGCTGGTTCTGTTCCACCTGAGTACACTGTCCTCTTGCGGGGTTTTCTTTTTCTTTTTGTTTTACCTGCCTGGTAGGGAGGTCTGCCTTGGTTCTTACCCCCTGTGTACTCTTCTCTCTTCCGGTGGTATTCCCTGCTTGGTCCCCGTGAATGTACTCATCCTGGGGGGTTCAGTTCTTAGAAAGTTGTTTGGTAGACTTGGGCGCCGGTTAGCAGTACCCTGCCTGGGTTTCCCCGAGTGTGAGTTCTGTCTCAGGACCCTGGGAATTCTCGCGGGGGCGCATGGGTCCAATGGATGTGACCTCCCAAGTCCCCCCTCACTTTGTGCAAGTTTGAGGGTTGCTCTGTCCCCTTGTCTCAGGGTGACTCACTGTTTTTGTCTCCGTCACGCTGCCTGTTGAGTCAGTGGCACCTTCGACCCGGAATCCTGCGAGTTTTGTTGCCTGTTTGTGACTCGGTTATCCAGTATTATGCTGACTATGCGGGTGCAGGCAGCACGAGTGTTGCACGTTGGGTTCAAGTGGTTGCAACGAGCTCGGTTGTTTGCTCCACGGAAGCCCCAACGCTGCCCCATTTAGGGTATTGTGATGGGGTTTGGGGGTGTTGGTCGCTTCGTTTGGTTTCCGTCTGCACCCCGTTGTCTTTTCCCTGTTGTGGTTTCGTCTGGTCCCCCCCCCTCCCCCCACCTCTTCCTCCCTACATCCGGATCCTCACCGTCTGTGGGTTCAGGGTCGGGGCAGGGTTTCGATGATCTTGAGACTCGGGCGGTCTCGGGGATTTCCCCTTCTGGGGTAGCGACGGAGGCATTTGAGCCTGTTCCTCCAGCCATGATGTATGGGGTCTGCCAGTGGACTTGCATCCTTAGTGTTTATCTGGCTGCCTCAGCTTTTTCTGGTGAGGCTGGGGCTTTCGGGGAACGGCTCGGCCCCAGAGCCTGCCATGGAGGTTCCTGGAGCTGGGGAGGGGATGACTTGGGAGGCCTCGGGCCCTGTTAGACCCCGCCGGGGTTTTCTACCCTCTGAACGGGGCTTGCAGTTACAGGTAGTGGGGTTTTTCCCTCTCTCTCTCCCCCCCCCCCCCCCCCCTCTGCATATGAGTTTTTGGGCATCGGCCCTTCCCCGGGTTCGGTTGCTTGTCCCTTCGGGTCCGTCTGTTCCGTCCTGTCGGTGGATACTTTTCTCCGTTTTCTCCTCCCGATGGGGCATTTCTGCTCGCCCGGGTTGGTTCTTTCCTGGCTTGCCGGGCTGGGTTCCTGCTTTCCTGGCTTACCCTGCCAGTTGGCATTTTCATGATTCTTGCGGTGTCACTTCTCACGAGTCACTCATCGGAACCACAGTGTTTCCGATCTCCTGGCAAGCTTGCTAGCGTTGGGAAGTTTTCTGTACGACAGACGTTCCATCTGGTTCCTTGCCGGCTTGGATTTCCAGCTCTGCTTGCTCGGTGTTCGCACCCGAGGTTTTCCCGCGGCTTCGCCTCTTCCTATGCTCGATCAGTCCATGGCGGGGCTGGTTCGGTTCTGCTTTGGGTCTCTCACCATCTGTTGATCAGGTGGCTTCGTTGATGGTGTCCCACCTGCGTGCTTCGTCTCGGCGGTCGTGTGGGTTTTTTTGGTGGTCCTTCCTTTTTCTTTTTGTCCCATAATAGGATTGCTGTGTTTTGTTGGCATGGTCTTGTTCCTTCTCTTGTGGAGGTTCAGGGCTGTCATCTTGCCACATACTGTCGCCTTGTCTCATGCGGCGCTGGCGGAGCTGCTTCGGGTTGCTTCGATTTTGGTGTTCTCTCTGCATCAATTCGCAGAGCTGTCTCTAGTGTGGTTCACCTCCGGCCTGATCTTGCATCGCTTGAGCCATCCTGGTTCTTGGATTGGGTGCTCTCTTCTCTTCTCCTCTCCTCGGTTTGTTGTGGCCCCTTCGGTTCTGGATTGTTTTCCGAGGCTCTTTTCTTGTTGTCATTGGCCTCTGGTTGTCGGGTCGGGGTGCTTCATGCTCTCCTCCAGCGCCAGGGCTTCGACTCTTTTGGTCCTCGTGATAGGTTTGTTTGCTTGCAGCTGTCTCCTTCTTTTCTGGCGGAGACTGACATGGCTTTTTTCGTAGGGGTTCTTGGGTTGTTGATGCTTGGTTGGTCCGTCCGGGGGTGCATCATGTGTTGTGTTCAGTTGCAGCACTTTGCTGTTCCTTGCATACCGTGGGTGCTGTGACCGGGGTCACACTTTAGGTTGTTCCGGTTTCCCTTCTGTCCCGTTCCAGGGTGTGGTTCTCTTGGGTCGTCTGTGGGGTGGTTCGGTCCAGCCAGCCTGCTGTCTATTCCCGTGCCCACGACGTTCGTAGATTGGCTATGCGTTCCTTCGTTGCTGTTCCTGAGCCTTGTCGGGCCTGTGTGGCCTTGCGTTGGCAGTTGCAGTCTTTTGTCTGCGCTTCGCGTTAGGGAGTGAGCGACTTCCGCCTCCTGAGTTAGGTCCCTCTTGTTTTCATCTTTGGGTAGGTAGCTCCAGGGAGCGGACGGGGCTCCTCTCAGAAAACCAGCATTGAATGTAATGAAACGCCATTTTCTGGGCAAGTCCCGAAGGCTCCTCGGAGCTACCTACCCAAAGACGAAAACAAGAAAGACCTAACCCAGGAGGCAGAAGTCGCTCACTCCCCAATGCGAAGCGCAGACAAAAGGATGCAACTGCCAACGCAAGGCCACACAGGCCATGAGTTGGCAGTTGCAAGGCCAGGGAGGAAACAACCTCACTTTTCCTGGTCGGTGGATTCGGTCAATGGTTTTCATGTTTTTTTTATATCTAGCCTCAGAACGGGGGTGTTGATAGCCAGCACGGGGGTCTGGGGCTCCCCCTTCTCCCTCCCAGAGAGCTGTACAGAAGACGGCGTGGCGATGTGTGACGTTATACTCTTTTGCTCATTTCTGTTTGGGGAGTTCTATTCACTTGTGCTTTTTGTAGCAATTTTCACCAGAATCTGGGTTTGTTCTGGGAAGCTTACCTTTCTGGGTGCCTAACCCGATCGATGGCAGACATTGAATGCTTCCAACCACACAAGGGGTTTCTATAGGCCATTGCTCCTCGTGCCTCTGTAAGGGGGGCCAGGTTCTGGCTCGTGGTCTCCGGTAGGCCCACAGAACTCCATACACATGACTGATTCCAAAAGTCTAACATTAGCATATCAGCCTGAATAGCTCCGGGGATCCTCTGGGACTCGTCCAGAAAATGGCATTTCATTACATTCAATGCTGGGTTTTTTCTCCCAGTGGTTTTTATTATTTGTAACAATTATTTTAACCGATTAGACTCAAACATTGGATTGATATCTAGTAATATTCAATATGTATAATACATTAATTTAGCTTATCTATGAATGATTTAATTATCTATAGAGATTTGTTTTGCAATCCTTCCCTCACCCCCCTCCAAAATAAATATGATCTGCAAAGGACCTGTATATAGTTATCATTTACACTTGAATTGGTCTTCAGATGTATGTTTGTTTACTAAGCATGTGTGTACATACATACATACAGTACATACAGTACATATAAATATAGCCATGCTTAGTAAACAATCATTCATATATATATATAATTTTTTCAGTAAAAATAGATATAAAATTATTTTTCTATTGATGCTGTATATATATGATGTAATGATTTACATAGAGATGACTTGATATGCACATAAAAAGAAAGGATAAACATTACTTGACATTTTACAGATGGTGAGTACGATCACCTGACTTATTCACGTCCAGTGGGTGAAGTGAAGCCGCACTACTACACTATGGCATCTCAGTTACGTCGTTCAGCAGACCAATTGTCTGATGAAAGCCCCACAACTGGTAGACCTCCTATTGGTGCAATGATAAAACAACGTTCCGCACATTCTTCGTCGTCATCTAATGAGCTGAATATTTCCCGCCCCGAAATCAGTTTAGATGATTATCCTTGCCTAGCTCAGAATGGTGTTGATGGTGGAGTGTCAAAAGTGAGCAACCTTAGTCCTGCTGCCAGTGATGATGAATATGCTAGGCTGAAAGTCAATAATCTCGATGTTTCAGTGGATTCTGGAAAACGAGGTGCTTATGCAAAATTTGATGACTTTAATGTTACCGCCTCCACAACCCTTGAGGATTCAAACACTAATCACAACAGTTCAGCAGAAACTGAGGTTTTAAACCCAGACAAAGGTTTATAAAGTTTTCAAAGAATCTGAAGATATGAAAATGCATGGTAAATGAAAGAAAATCAGTGCAAAATAAACTATATTACCTGCCACCATTCATTGGAACACATTAACAGACTGGTGGTTACTAATACAAACTTTGAAGCAGCACCTAAGAAATGCAGATTTAACACCTTTTGAAATATTGTACTATAGTTTGGGCCATGGTGTAGTGTTGTGTATACTGACTGTGCTTCTCGGATGTTACCCCCTGGTCACTCACCTGTTATTATATAACAAGTTAAAGACACATTTGTGCATCCCCCTTGTACAGATTCGTAAATGATTTTTATTAGTACATGTTTGCGGGAGACAATTTCATTACAGTTAAGAAACAAAGTAGTGTCCATCCATAGTGATAATTGGTTGTGTATAGATAATTTTCTGTGGCAAAAAATCATCACCTCTTCATGGCCTTCATAAAGCATAAAAGATGTTTTGTTGACAAATATCAGTGACAGATCACATGTTGAATGAATCTTGAGCAAATGGACAAAGATTGTTGTTGATATATTGTGTGCGCGCGTGCGTGTTGTGCAGTGTTTTGGACACGTAATATGAAAAATAATTTTTTGTAACTGTCTGGAATAGTTTGTTAATTTTAACTGCTTTTGTATATACATTTTTTAAACTATTGTGAAAATTTTTATTGTTAAGCACATGTTTTAAATTAGTTTTACAAAGTGGGGCTGAGCTGCCTTATGAAATTTCAAAGAAAATAATTTTACAAAATAAGGCTTGGCTGCCTATGAAAAACTTGATCATTCCACAGCATGTATTGAAAGATCTTAAGGACTGTATATTGATAATGTGGTTTTAATCATTTTATTTTAAACCAGTATGAAATAGAATATTTTACTCAAATTGTATTGATTTGTTTTTTATTTATAAATTGTATAAGTTTATGATGCAAAAAATTATTTATGAAATAGATTTTTAACTGTTAAATTTAAATTGTTTACTTGATATTAAGCTACTGACATTGAGGAAAACATTTGGTGTGACAGTTTATTTTATGAATTATATAAGAAAATAAATTGTGTGATAGGTTGTTTCATTTTCTTCAGAACAGTTCTGCATCAGTGTATTTAATAGGCATCTTTTAGCATATTACCAACAAGCAGCAGTGTCGTGTATTATTACTGTGGTTACTGTTAAACTTGTTGGAAGAGCTCCCATGTTAGAAAACTAAAAGTATTGAAATTTAAAGTACTTTTAATAGGTATTTTATCCAGTCAGGTGGTATAATTAGCTTTGCAGAATGAATATAGTATTCTTAATCAGTATCAAATGCTGAACCTAAAGTTAATATCTACTTGATCTCAGTCAATCTGAGGCTTTTATATATGGAGCAATATTTTCTCAATGTAGGTTTCTAATAATAATAATGATAATGCTGCTGCAGCAGCAGCAATCCAGGAAAGCTATGTAGCCCCATGAGGTGTGAGGGATATTTAAGATGCACTAAGGATGCCAATATGAGAAAATTGAGGAAAGACCACCATTGATGTCAAACAGGAAAATAGTGCTGCTCGGAACACTACCTTGGAATACAAGGTAGTGTTCCGAGCAGCACTATTTTCCTGTTTGACATCAATGGTGGTCTTTCCTCAATTTTCTCATATTGGCATCCTTAGTGCATCTTAAATATCCCTCACACCTCATGGGGCTACATAGCTTTCCTGGATTGCTGCTGCTGCAGCAGCATTATCATTATTATTATTAGAAACCTACATTGAGAAAATATTGCTCCATATATAAAAGCCTCAGATTGACTGAGATCAAGTAGAATATACCTTCTTATTGTCAAAAAGAGGCAGTGTGTGGTACCAAGCCTGACTAGAGGAACCTCCCCCCCCCCTCCCTTTCCAGCCCGTTGTCGTTGCAAGGGGGCTTTGTGGGCAGCTGCCAGGGTGTGATGTTTCATGGAACAGTCCTTAGTCCTTTTGATGCCTTATGCTTCTGCTGCCGTCTTCACCAATTTTGCTGAAAACTATTTCCATTTCCTCCTATCTTTCATTATTAATGAAAGATAGGAAGAAATTAGGAGAATATTAATCCTAATCCTGACCCTTTCCCTGGGCTATATAGTCGTAGTGGCTTGGCGCTCTCTCCTGATAGTTCCCTTCCCTTCCCTTCCCTCCTACCCTTCTCATTTCTTATGGTCATTTCCTACCAACTTTTTGCCATTCATGATTATTCTTTCGGACCTCTTCTGTTTTGACGCCCGTGTGTTTGGGAAGGCCCACGCACTCGCCTGTAAACCTGTGGTACCCGATGTTTCGAGCTAGTGGACACTTTTATTGTCGATCCTCGCCTTCGTTGCTGAATCCGATCTCGAAGGACTGACGGTTCTTAAGGTGGCGATTGGGGGGCGTATACTCAAGATGCACCCCTGGGGGACCCCATCTTGTCGGGTGTCCCATCCTTTAATTGTGGCTCCATGGTGGGTATGAGGAGTTATTCATGATTGAAATTAGCACCTACTCATTTCTATGCTGCTGAATGATCCTCTTGTACCCCCCCCCCCACCCCTGTAAGTAGCACTGTATTGAATGACCGAGCTCTGTAGCCCCCAGTACATTGTGCCCAGACCACGCTCCTCCTTTGACCCTCCCGACTACCTCCCCTCCACTCCCCTCCTCTCCCTCTGTTGAGCTGCAAGCCCCCCAGTGATGACCACCTCATCACCTGGAACAGCTATTTCTCTCATTGTGTCAACTGCGCCTTTTACTCCATCTCCCTCTCACTGGAGGTTTTCGGTGCCGACACCGCCCCCCCCCCCTCCCCTCCCCCCCCCCACACAGATGCACTCTCATGATTCCTTCCAATGCTAATACGTTCCGTGCTTTGTTTGGCCCTGCTACAGGCACTAAATACTTTGATCTCAACCATCTGGATTCTTCATGTCCTGACAATTTCTTCCTCCATAAACACCTCATTGATTTGGTGGATGCCTTTGTTACTTTTAACCCCTCCCATTTTAGTACACGTGTCGTTGCTGCTGCTTCTCAGGATGCAGCTGCCTGTTTAGTCGCATTATCCAGCATTGGGGAGACCCCTGTTAGTGTCTCTAAAAATGTCCTGTTAAATGCCAGTACTGGCACTGTTATCCTCCCACACCATGTTGTGACTGATGTTAGGGACCTGAAAGACTGCCACGAGGATATTAAACAAATCCTTGAAGCCCAAGGCCATTCTGTCCTCCAGGTTGATACGTTCACTCGACCCCCTCGTGGTCGTCGTCGTCTTCCTGTCCGAGTTGTGAAGATCACTTGATAGTGGGACCCTTCTGCCTTCTGTAATTCTTGCTGGTGCCAGATGCTCCGTTCAGGAGTACATTTCCTCTCCTCGACTTTGCAATAAGTGCTGGAAATTTGGGCATGGTGCCCTCAAATGCACAACTACAGTACAGTGTCTTTATGCCCCTTGTGTAGGGACTTGGGTCACTCTAAAACGGAGGCTCCTCTTCTCCTGTGCATGTATACACTACAAATTTGAGGAAGCCATCCTCAATTTGAACCACCATGATTATCTTTTCCCGAGGCGAGATACCAAGTCTGCCACCTCTCCTCTTTTTGCTAGCATATCTTATGCTCGTGTGTTGCGTTCCACCTCTCCTAGCCCTTCCCTCCTTTCTCAGTCTCAACCGTTATCAGGCCTTGGACCCGGACATGCCCACCGCCTCCTCCCCTGTTCCTTTATGTTCTGAACCAAGGGGTGATCATCCTGATGTTTTCCTCCTTCCTTCCCAGTCTGCCATGTCTCCCGAGTCTTCTTTCCTGTCTCCCCCTGATCCTTCTTTCCAGCCCTCCCTCTGTCTCATGGCCCTCCGCACTGCCCATCTGTCCTGGCTGTTGTCCATCATCCGCCCAGCAATCTTCATGTTGATCGCTCCCATTTTCCTTCTCCTGTTGAGACTATGGAAACTGTCTCCCAGTACGTTGCTGCTGCCACACCTGTCTCTTTAATTCAGAAAGGTAAGCCTGGCTCCTCCTCCTCTTTTTCCTTGCAGGTAAGAAGGCGTCGCTTTCTTCCACACCCTCTGACTCTTATCATTGTATTCCCTCCCATTTCGGTGGTTGAGCCCCTTGTCCCGGCTATGGAGGTTCCTTTAGCCCTCGATTCTCTCGGTTGCTGCCCTTGCTGAGGTGCGCTTCCCAGTTTCTGACCGCCCCTCTCCATTACCTCCAGCTTCAGACCTCATCCGTCCGCCTCTGGTACATCCTCTCACTCCCTTGACGTCGTCATTGTTAAATTTACCCATGCCTCCTAACCATGATTTCACTGATCCTGATCTTGATCTTATTTAGTATACGGTGTTCTTTGGTTTCTCTTTTCACTGTTCTCTTGTCTTTTGACTGTCTATTCTTCAGTGGAATATTTGTGGATTTTGTCAACTTCCATGAACGCCAACTTATGATAATACATGTACACAGATATCACAATAGCGTGATGCATTAAATGAACAAATCCACAAAGGCCATGATGAGGCTTTGAATTTATGCCCGGAATGATCCCAGCCGCTGCCTTAGTCGACTAGGAAATGACATGGTAAAAGAATTGTAACTGGGAGTTCCACTGGCCTCTCAGATCCTGCAGCCTCTCAGACAAACCAGGGTTTTACACAATTCCCCCATGCACTCGGCAAGCTGTTCTACCTCTTTGCCCTCACTTTAATACACAATTTTTTATGGTTGTAATTCTCTTACCATGTCATGGCCTAGTCGACTAAGGCAGCATTTGGGATCATCCTGGGCGTAAGTTCGAACCTTCATCACAGCCCTTGTGGATATGATACACAAAGCGGTGAAGACTGTGTTATGTCTCCAGGAGCCGATGCTTGGTGCTTGTCCTGGTCACTTTCTTGGTGGTAACTTTCTCCCCACCCCCCCCCCCCCCCACTCCCTCTATCTTTTGCTGGGGCCCATAACTCTACTGCTCTCTTAATTTGTACTGATATTCCCTTCATCCCCTACTTTTTCTGTCGCCTATCTAGTGTTCTTCGGCCCGTATCTTTGTGAGTAAATGGTATACAGTCTGTTCCATTTATCACCCCCAAATGTCCCACTTTCTCTTCCTGATCTTAAGCACCTGTTGGACTCCTTACCAGAGCCTGTGCTCCTGTTGGGTGATTTCATCTGTTGGCATACCCTCTGGGGTGATGTTCTGACAAACGCCCAAGGCTGCCTTTTCTTACCATTTGTCCTCTCTTCTTTGTCTCTTCTGAATTCTGGTGAACCCACTCATGTGGACTCCCGCACTCGCATCCTCTCCTGTCTTCATCTTTCTCTCCGCTAGTCTTCTCTTTACTCAGATTTCATATGGTGGGGTTCTTGATGACCTCCATCCTCTATAACAGTGACCATTTCCCCATCCTTGTCACCTTTTTCTTTCTTTTTTCACCCTCCCTTCTCCTTCCCTAGCTAGCAGTTTGCCAAGGCTGACAGGAATCTATTCATTCTCCATGCGACTCTTTCCGACCTCTCTGCTCTGCCTCTCCCTCAAGCCCTCCTTTTTCATGACACCGTATTCGACACTGCTCTATTCCTCGCTCTACCTCCCGGGGCCTGCGGAAGTGCAGGTGGAATGCAGACTGTGCTCGGGCTGTCCTCTGTAACCATGCAGCCTGGACGAAACACCGACACTGGCAGACGGCCGCTTCTTTTATTTTGTTTCAGAAGGCAAGTGCAGTAGCCCGTAGGATCATCCATACAGCTAAACGTGAGAGTTAGAAATCTTATGTCTCCACCATTACGTCCGATACTTCTCTGCCACAGATCTGGAAGATGATCTGCAAGATAGCAGGTAAGTTTGTCCCATATGTCTCGCCAGTCCTTCACCTCCTTGGAACTCTTGTGACGGTCGCAACCGAACTGGGTTCCCACTTTTTGACTTGACTCCGGTTCTCATCTCTCTGTCCTTCCTTCTTCCTAAGCCTGTTCTTGAATCTCATCCCTTAGATTTCCGCACTCATCTCCGACTTCCTTATAACGATCCCTTTCTCTCTCTCTCTCGCTCTCTCTCTCGCTCTCTCTCTCGCTC